GGTAATCGAGATCAATTTTTTTCCATTGAGAGAGTAGATGATGTTGAAGCTTTTCATCTTTGATCCTTCATCCCATCCATGTCAAATTTTTTGCATTCTTTGCACTATTGTACAGCCATCTAAATCTAGGTACAATGGAAAAGTACCAAAATGCCTTCTTTGGACTCTTCCCATTCTTTGTAGTGCAAGGAATTACATTTTGACACTCCATTAATGATGCATATTCATTTCTAAATAATATGCAATCATTAGGACAGGCATGTATTTTCTCTTAACTCATGGCAATTAAGCGTAACATTTATTTTACCTCATACATAGTCCATGGGAGCTTGTTGTTCGTAGGTAGAAGTTGTTTTATAAGTGTAAGATTTTCTATAAAATCTTATCACTCCATTCATTGCTCACTTTCAAGTTATACAATTTCAACACTGCTGACAACTTTGTGAATTCAGTGCAACCAGCATACAAGGGCTTCTTTACATCACTTTTCAACATCTCTAACATTTCAGGACATCCTCAAGTTTCCTTTCAAATGCATTGGCCATCTCTTCAAAATAGTCACCCTTATAAGTATCTGTGTCATAATCATTTGATTCAAAGCTTCTTTATACTCCCAATTACTAGTAGACTCATCCCTCTAGTCTCTCCATGCTTATGTCAACATAACACACTAAATGGTCTTCCATTTCAGATACATAAATTTGCTTGAAAAGACCACATCTTACTAAGGGCACATTATTCTTCTAGGTCTTTTACATGCTCAAGAGCAAACCTCATAAACTCTTTCACACCATTCAATATTTTTTACTTAATTGATTGGAAGACATCCATTCTTTAACCATAACTTTTTAATCTAAAAGACAATTCATTCAAGGAAAAGTGATCAGTGACTCATGAATATGAAGAGGAAAGGAATGATAGAAAGATTATCAATAAAGAAATTGCCTACTCTACATATAATATAGAGTAATTAATGAATCATAAGTCACAATGCATGAGCATTCACATACTCCTTCAACCGTCGATAAAAAATTCAGCAGCATAATAGCATAAAGAAAGTATTTCTCAGGCTAAAACCCTCTTTTCAATCTTGGCATGTCACTCAACAAACTAATTCCAACTATATACAATCACAAAACAAACAAATTCTCACAAAATAGCATTTTCAAATTAACTCTAATTATTATAAAATTATATAAAATTCATTCAAAATTCATAGAAAAAAAACACTATAAACATCATTTTGAATCAATATTCTGTCTCATTTTGATCATTATAAGATTACACATATCCTATATTAGCAATCTTAAGCCAAGAACAAATCATTCTTTACCAAATGTAAAAATATCAATAAAATAGCAATGATTTTTACAGAAACCGCGCGTGTCAGTTTCGTTGCTAAAATGAACTCTAATTGTGATGGAAATTGGTACACTAGTACATTTCAATATTTAGTTTGAAGGATAAAACTATTCTGATCAAACAATACATGAAATTTAAAAAAAATTATTAAAATAAATCAGTCAAAATTCATAGAAAAATACAATCATCATAAAATATCTCATTTTGATCACTAATTTTCATCTTAATAATCATCCTAAGGTAAAGCAAATCATCTACAATCATTCTCAAATCAATAAAACACTAAACATTAGCAATTTTCAACACCCCATAATATTAAAATGGGCAAAAAATGAGGAAAAATTTAAACAATAAAAATCAACTAATAAAACAATCCATAATCTTAAATAAATCAATCCCATAATCTAGAAATCTAAGCATATTAAAAGAAAATGAAGAAAAAGTATAGAAATCACAAGCCCTGTTACCTTAGAGAAGAGAGGATGAAACACAAAGAGGAAGCCAATGAGAAAGGAACCGGACGGTGTTGGAGGAGCACTTTCACGCCGGTGAGGGACTAAGGTGGTTGACGGCAACAATGGAGAAAGATTGAGATATTTCTATCGATTTCGTGCAGAAGTGAAGAAGAGAGAAAATAGAGACGACGAACAGGCGTGAATGAAAAAGTGAACCAGGAAACTGAACAAAAACGAAATAAATAATGGGTATTCATACCGTCATTTATTCAAGAATATATGACAGGTGTTTTAACACCCATCATATATAAGAAAGGCTTTAAATGACGATTGTTTTAAACAACCGTCATTTAAAGTAAAATTTTTTTATTTTTTTTAAATCAAGAAAATCAAACGTTGGCCACGAATATATGATGTGTGTTTAACAAACCTGTCATATATAGTTCTGGATTTTAAATGACAAGTGTTTAAAACACTCATCATTAAAGTTTTAAAATTTTTTATTTTTTAATTTAACAATCTAAAACGACAGGTACCAATATATAATGGTTTTTTGTATAATCGTCATATATTCTTTGAACTTTATATGAAGGTATTTCAAATACCTGTCATTTAAAGTTCAAATTTATTTTTTATTTTTTTCTTCCAGTAAATAAAATGTTGGGCTGAAATAAATGATAGGTTTTTTTTTAATACCTGTCATTTAAAGTCTGATAATATATGATGGTTTTTTTAAAACCCGTCATTTATTTTCTCACCATGACCCGCCTATCTCATATGTGACGTGTTTTTTATTTGACCGTTATTTTTTATGACGTCTTATATTTATGTTTTTATAGTAGTGATATAAATCATAATTAACTAATTTAAGATTTACGAATAATGTTAGTTGAAACATTAATTTTTAAAAATATCCACATATTTCTATTTATATTCTTATTAAATACTTTATATAAGAGCCTTGATAATAACAATTAAAATTCTAATGCATGATTTTTTTTGAAAAGAATAATAAATAAAGTAGGGCTATAGTTTGAAAATAAATATAAAAGTTATTCAATATTTTATATTTTGAAGTGGGTAAAGTTTTTAAAAGATATTTTATATTATGATCTGAAAGAAGTATTTTAGAGGGAGCACATTAATCCAGTGATTGACGATATCCACTCAATTAATGGCTAACAATCATCTCACGAAATCTCACACGTTTTGATAATAACACTTAAGTTGATATGTATGCATTAAATTTGAGAAACATATTTAAGTATTTTCATTGGATTTTTTTAAATTTTATTTATAAATACGGTTTCTGAAATGACGCAGATTTGTTAAAAAAAATGCATTAAACTTAACATAATGAAAAAAAAGATATACATTGTGTGATTTTTAACTTTGGATATGTAATTGTATTACATGCTTGTCAAAAAAACTTTTACCGCTATTGTGTTCTTCTTAATTAGCTAGACCGGCTCAAGAGGCAGAGCCGTGATTTAACTATGAGGGAAACCAATATTTAAAAAGTGAATATATTACAATATTAGAATAGTTTTCATAAATATTGAGAAGTTGGAAGTATAAAATATCTATACAATTAAAAAAAAAAAGGGGATTGCCTGCATTTTTATTTTTAATTTTTTCCGGAGAAGAACCGTGTCTAAGGTTGTTAGAAGAAGAAAAATAGTTTTATAGGCCCAATATAATCTGATAATACTCTACATGCCCGAAAGATTCTCTAGGCTTTCTGACTTTAACCTTATGCTTTAAATTAATTTTTTTAATATAATCTATATTTTTTAAAAAAATAAATCTGTGAACAAAAATACTAAAAAATCACAAGTGCTTTTGAAAATTTTTAAGCTTGTTTGTTTCAGCTTATTTTATGAAGAAATTACTTGCTTTTTTTTAAAAAATATATTTTATAAGTTTTTATTATGTTTATTTAAATTTTTGAAAATCATTAGAATCCAAAAAATAACCAATTTCTAATTATTTTAAGAAGCTAATTTGAATAACATTTGAAAATAATCTAATACAGTAGATAAAAGAGGGTATTTTAAAGACACGAGATACGTAAAAATATCATAAAATTTTAAAATAATATAATAATAAATTAATTTTATAAAATAAAAATCAAGAAAGATATCATAAAATTTAAAAATAACTAATTAATAATTATTTTTTTTTTATTATTGCAACTAACATAAAATAATATTTAGTCTTTAGAAAATTTTTAAAAAATAAATCTCTTTTCATAAAATCTCTAAACTAATGAAAAAATATTTATTTTTTAATTTTAACAAAAAGGCCTTTTGTAACACTTCTCAAAATAACGTGTCCTATGGATATCAAATATTTTATGTTTGTAACCTATTAGTCTAATTAATTATGAATGATTTTTCCTAAAAATTTTCTCTTCAAACGATCTTATGAGATGAACTCACTTATCAAAGAATTTGCTTATGGGTGATAATCATAGGTCCTCTCTCCCTCCCCTTTTCTCTCAAATTTGAATTTTATGAATTAGGTGACGTGAGCTTACGTTTACTGTAAAGTTTAAGAAAGTCATAATTTTATCATATTATTTATAATTTGCTAGTATCTCATTGTATTTCCTTTTAAGAGTGTTAGATATCTTATACTGATAAGTGAAATATTTTTTTAGATAGAGGGGGATTGTTGCTCTTCTAAAAAATTGTTTAAAAAAAAGAACAATGTTTCACTTATGTACATGTTGTCCAGCACTTTTCAAATGAGAGTACATGAGAAAAAAATATACTTTAATCCTATTTTTTAATAGAAATAGAATAAAACAATTAAAAGTGAGAATTGTTTTTTTTTTTTTTGGGTTACTCATAGACGCCCTTCCATTAGAGGTATTGATGTTTGAATGAGTTAGATAGTAAATATGAGTTTTTAATATTAATTTATTACGGTGTGAGAATTAACATATTCCATTATTAGAAGTGTGAAGTAAATAGAGACAGCTCATTATTGTGAGTTTTTCAAACTATTTGGGCTTTTGTAATCCATTTGAAGCCGAGGAATGGACTGTATTTAAGGGTTTAAATCTTGCTTGGGCTGTGGACTTGAACACGTTAGTATTGAATCTGTGGACAGATATTTATGAAAAAGAAAAAAAAAAAAAAGAAAAAAGAAAAACTTGTGGGCATCATCAACGATGGAGAAAGATTGTGCTTGCTATAATGCTGGGTCTTTGATGTTTAAGGAGATCATTTGAATGCTGTTGCTTCAATGGAGATCAAAATACTTTACATCACCAGTTGAATCTTGTGGCTGATGGACTTGCTAGATTTGACTTCAACGATGCTTTTGAATTGTATCACACGGTTCCTGCTTCCTTGAGAACCCTAGCGCAGAGAAAGACGGCTAATTTCTTTTGGGTCAACTCGACAGACCGCCAAGATTAAAGAAATAATGAACGGTTGAGATGAGACTTTCCACTGAATTTTCCGTCAAAGCGTCGTCGTTTTCAGGACCTGAGCGGAGTTCTGTTTCGGAAGCTTGTATTTCTCTGGTATGCTTCACGTCTTCTTCATTGGATTTTGTGAGTGTTCAAATTCAATAATAGCTTCTTGATCAGAAAGGGAGGTTATCCTCAAGTTTAGAAAGGCAAAATGGAAAGTGGAAATAAAATGTCTAAGACTGACAAGAGGAAGCTAAATGAAATGATTGCTGATTTGTTGTCTGATTGGTATTATCGAGTATGTCGATTGTCGACCATCCCGACGGTGCCAGATTGAACTGGGTTTCCAGTGCTCATGAGCGAAAATCGTATGCAAAATATGGATGGAAGCGCCTAATGTGGGTAAAAGAAACCAGGTCATGAATACTTCCTTCACGATGTTTGTTGTAAATAAAGTAAAATGTGGCTATAGATAAACATAACTTTCTTGCTCTTTATATCGATTTAATTGATTGATTAATTGCTTCGAGTTTGATCAGCTCTGGATGAGAACTTCATTGCCTGCGAGAGATTGTCTTTATAAAAATGACTCGAGTTCAGTTGAGGATTTTGGAATAGAGGGGGATCAAAATAATAGAAATTAAGCACATGCAAGAGCAGAAAACTTCTTGGGAGAGGGCAAATGTTTGAGATTAGATTGGTTCAGTTTGTTAGCAATGACACTTTCCTACTTCCCTCGAGCTGCTAAATTTTGTCTTTAAGGAGAAGCGTTCTGTGCTCATGGGGAAGGAAAACTTTACGCTGATATAGACTTCAAGGCAAGTATATTCTACCTATATGTTTTACTATTTTCTTTCTTAATTTTCTTTTAGATCCATGGATCAGGATTTGATAAACTTATTAGCATTACGTAGATATAAAGAAAAGAAATGAAGAATGAGTTTGATTAGCAAAGCAGTTTTTTGACGATGATTATGTGATAATCTTGTGATAAGTAAGCTGACACTCCTTTAACGAACTTAATTGTTTGTATTATGTGATAATCGTGCATTTCGTCCATCCCAAATGTTGTTAGATTGACCTGGCCGGTTGACGGTGCCCTTAACGTTATGTGCTCATAGGGCAGCGATAATCCCAAGCCCAATGCCATTCAATGCCTTGATGTATTCTTGTGACTGTGTGTGTTTATTGTTTTTGTTTTTTCTCATAAAGTTCACGCTATCCCAAGTCTCTACGGATGAGTTTGTTAGTTTTTGTCTATTGTTTATATATCTTTCATCCCTCTCTCTTACTTCCCCTCATTCACATACGCTTCAGGGCAAGTAGTCTAACTCTTCATTTACATGTCTGTTTTCTTACTTCTCCTCCTTCTTCTTTCTTTTTGGTTACATTCATGCTTCTGGATCTGATACATATTTGAAGCATGCAGATATCGAAGGAAGAGATGGAGAATGAATCTAACAAGGCTTTTCTTGAATCATATGCCATGAAAGGAGGGGAGGGTCCTCACAGCTATGCTCAAAACTCAAACTTTCAGGCATTTAATCTTAATCTTATCGCTTAATTACAGTTTGTTTTGTGAAATCTTTTGATTCTTATTTGATGGCTAATGTTTGTGTACACACAGGCATTAATCTTCTGTTTTATAAAAAGCTATATGACTATTAACAAGATAATTTAGTTTTGCAGAGAATAGATGATCCGTGATGTCATATATTCTATGCCAAAAAAATCATTCATACGTTATTATTGTCATGACAATTATGCAATATAGGAACGTGTTCAGAAGAGATTTACAGGGTAAATTTAAAGGTGGAAGAAGAAGAAGAAGAAGAAGAGAGAGATGGAGATAGATCCGTCATATTAAACTCATTTTAGTCTCATCATTTAAATGTCGATCTTATATGAATTTTGTCTGTCTCTTAAAAAATTATCATCTATATTTTTTGGTTAAATTTATAGGATTTTAATCTGCTTATTTGCTTAACAGATATAACTAATGAACTACATGATATCTGCAGAGATCAGCAATTGAAGCAGCCAAAAAGCTTCTCCAAGGTGCAATAGCTGACAACTTTGACTTGAAAATCATTTGTGTTGCTTCTACAACAAACCCAATTTGCATAGCAGACTTGGGCTGCTCCACTGGGCCAAATACCTTCATTGCAGCACAAAACATAATGGAAGCAATTGAACTCCAATGCAAATCTCAAAAACAAAGTGTCCAGGAATTCTTTGTTTTCTTCAATGATCAAGCCTCAAATGATTTCAACACTCTCTTCCAGAAACTTCCTCCCAACAAAAAGTACTTTGCTGCTGGAGTTCCTGGCTCTTTCTATGGACGCTTATTTCCGAGGCAGAGCCTACATGTAGTTCACTCATCTGCATCACTGTCTTGGCTATCTAAGTTGCCCAAAGAGCTTACTGATAGAAGCTGTGATGCTTGGAACAAGGGGAAAATTTACTATACTAATGCTCCAAAAGAAGTTGAAGATGCTTATAAAAGTCAGTTTAAAATGGATTTGGAGACTTTTTTACAAGCCAGAGCACAAGAGGTTGTGGGCAATGGGATAGTGATTCTTCTGATACCTGCTGCTCATGATGTGATTGATTTTAGTGTGGACTTGTATGGTGGAAAAGATTATGAACTTCTGGGAAGCTGTCTAATGGACATGGCAAAACTTGTGAGTGTTCGTTCGTTTTTTTTTTTCTTTTAATAATTTGGCATTGCTTAAGAGTGTGTTGTGTGATAAAACAAAGTAAAGTCAAATAGTTTTAATTTGGGTTTATTCAAATGGTAAGTCCCATTTGAATAGCTCTATATATTTGCCCTTTTGTTATAACTCATGACATCCTCTATCTTATAAGCCTTTTGCATTAGAGAATATGAATATTAAAGTGATAAGTCCTTTTTTCTTCATAAAATGCTGCAAATTCTGAGTTTAAAGGTTTCCAATTTAGTTGATAAGTAATAATATGTATGTTACATGATTCTCACTTTATAAGTGTAAGGTTCACTAAGTTTAGAATATAAACATGGTATAATTTTTAATTGACAATTGGTATTGTGTTGGTTCTGCCTCATGGAAAATTGAGAGTTGCCACCAAGTTCAAATGGGCATAAAACTTGTTATTTGTAAACTATTGTTGAGAATTTGATAGAATCGACCATGGATAGGAAAGTTAAGAATTTGCTAATAGTTTTTTGCCATTGTAGGGACTTGTAAGTGAAGAAAAAGTGGACACTTTTAACGTGCCCACGTATTTTCCACATGTGAAGGATCTGAAGAAAATGCTTGAAAGTAATGAAGATTTCAGTGTGGAGAAAATGGAACTCATTTGATTGCCACAGCTCCATTCAGCCAAACTTGGAAGGGCATGTTTCCCAATGCAGAGCTGTGCTGGAAGTGCTAATTGAGAAGCACTTCGGAGATGGAGTTGTTGATGAACTTTTTGCTCGCTTTGCTGAGAAAGTTATGGAATCCCCAGAAGTCATGAATCTTCAGAAGCTTAAACTTCTAATGCTCTTTGTTGTTCTCAAGCGCAAGCAGGTGTAGACATAGATGGATAAGTTAACAGTTCTCTCCTGATGAACTTAATTATGATAATGCAACTGCCTCTATTCTGCTTGTTGGACTTAATTATGATGAAGGGTGAAAGTAACATGTGTTGACCTCATGTGTTTTAAAAGTTTTTTATATATAATTTTGTGGTAAGGTATTGCTGTTTCCATTTGTTATGATATTAAGTGATTTTTATGATCTTATATTTTATTTGCTTGATATTTACGAATAGTCATTATTTCTAGAATATGTGAGAGAGAGAGAACCCCCCCTTAAAAAAAAAAAAAAGCTAAATGGGGGAGGATTTTCTGATTATAAGAGGTTCAGTTTTCTACACTGGTACAAATAATTATAACTGGTTAAATATTTTTTAAATGATTTAAATATTTTTCACACTGTTTAAGTTCATAATCAATGTATAATGATTAATTTTTTTAAAAAAATTACTTTAGACTTTCTCCACTTGTTATAGTTAGTGATAATTTTTTTTAAAATATTCAATACTTTTTAACTTTCAACATAACATGTTATATTTGTTGGTGTCGAAATTTTTTTAACACTAATTGTTTTAGTAACTGATGTAGAAAGTTCAATAATCATGCAATTTAGTGAAAAAGTTGCTAGTGGCCATACTTTCTACACCTATTCCTTTTGATCTAGTGTAAAAGCCTATTGTACAAAGTGTCTTTTTTTATACTATAGTGTATTTATGCCAACATTATGATGTACTAAGTGTCTTCTAGAGGTTTATTTTATCTCCTAAATATGATGAATGTCATGATATTTTTGAATAATTAAATAATTTTATTATTATCTTGAAAAATGAAAGAGATATTAATTGTGTGTTCTACATCAATACCATCATATATGATGTTAATTGTGATATTATTATGAGCAAAACTAAAAAATTATTGTGATTTTATTTCATTTCATCCAAAAAATACACTTTTATTGGTATATGAGTGAGATTTGGTTAAAACTAAAACACCTTATATGTAGAAATAGAGTAGTACATTTCTCCAAGTAAATGAATCTTAATGTATTCGGTACATGTGAATGTTCCTGTACTTAATAACGTGATTTGATTCATGAATGAGATAAGGCTTAAATATAATGATTCATAAAATTAAAGTAATGATCATCCACAAAATATCATAATAGCTCGAGATCATCTATGTCTAGTAAAAAGTTAAAATGATAAAAGGTTAAGTAATTAATTTAAAAGAGAAAATATATAATGTTAAGTAATTAATTTAAAAGAGAAAATATATAATGAATGATTTAGATTTGATATCTATATTAGGATTTGATTGAGTCACATTAATGTGGATGATTCTTTCTTTTGTGTGTAAAGGAGAGAGAAATTGAGAGGGAAGATTTTGAGAGAGAGAGAGAAGCCGGGGGGGTAGAGTAGAAAGAGAGGGGTGAAGTAAGAGAGATACATTGAAAGGTAGAAATAACTGTTCCTTCACCCTATGTCATCATTTAGAATTGGTTTTTTCAAGAGAAAATGGTAATAAAATTTTTTTAAATTAATAAATAATATTTTGGTTTATCAAAATGTTATAATTTTTCTAAAGTTTGTTAAGACTTTTTTATTATTAAAGAATTAATATAAATGATTAAATTGCTTTTAGTTCAGGATTTTAAATACGAACTTTTGAATTGTTGTTACATTCTTGTGATTTTAAAGAAGAAAAATTGTGAATCTTAAAATAAAACTTGTGAATGACAATTAATATTTATAACACTTGAAAAATATCAGGATTTTAAATGTAAACTTACGAATTGCTATCAAATTTTTGCAATTTTAAAAAAAAATTATGAATCGTAGAATAAAACTGATGAATGACAATCGATATTTATAACACTTGAATAATATCATGATTTTAAATGGAAACTTGTGAATTTCTTTTGAATTCTTACGATTTTAAAAAGAAAAATTATAAATTTTAAAATAAAACTTGTGAATGATAATTGATATTTGAATTAAAGATAATTTAATCATTTATATTAATTGTTCATTACATAAAAATCTCTTAAAATTTCAGGAGAATTATAGCATTTTGACAAACTAAAGTGTTGTTTACATAGTTTAAAAAGAATTTTATTGCCAGTTTTTCTTTTTTCAAATGGGCTGTCTATAGTAAGAATAACGGATAATTTACTCGCTATATGCACTGCTCCTTTTTTGCTTTGTATGTTCATAATTTGATGAAATCTTAGAGATGTTCTTTTAATTCATGCCAATGAATTTCACTAGTGTGGATAGAGGCCACCCTCATTTAATTTGAGTATTGAGATATTCTCTTTTTCTTTTTAACTAGTATATGGCATGTGCTATACACGGGATATGAAAGAAAATAATTTAAATAAATAGTGAGATTTACTTTAACATTTGGAGTGAGTTGTTATTAAATAAAAATAATTAACTCATACATTAAATTTAGAAATACTATAATTTTTGACACTTTTAAACGGGAAACAAATGAAGACATCAAGTAATTTAGATGATAACTATGAATATATTATTCTATAGCAAACCATTTACAAGAACAAAAAGGAGGGGATTATAAGAAAAGATAAAGTCATCTACCTACAATATTGATGAATATATTAGAGTTGTTGTATATCTTTCAAATATTAGGGTCACTCATAAGATGTTGATATGGTTAGTAAATACAAATTATAAAGTTAAGATGGACTTATGGAAATACAAACATATGGAGGACTGACTTGAAATAGTGTTATAAAAGCTTATAATAATGCAAAGGACAGAATGGACGAAAATAAGAATCAAAATGCACAAACATGAAATTCCATTTCGAATCAATTGTAGAGCATTGAAAGTGCATTTGTTTGACAACAAATCTATAATGAGGAGAATTCATCAAGAAAAAGAATCATAACATACCATAAGAGAAAAACTACTTGAGAAAACGAATAGAGAAGAAGAAATTGTTAAACACCACAGGCAAGGGAAGGAGAAAGAGAAAGATGAGGAAAGAAGGAAGCTTTCACATCCCGTCTTCTAACATATACATAATTTGAGATAGTGATTTCATAGAAGAGTAGTTTTTGAATTAAATATAAAAAAAATGTGGAATGGTCTTTGACAATTTAAGAAGATAATGGGAGGTGATTTTTGATGGTTTTAAAAATAATCATTTTTAAATTTGAAATTTAAAATTAGGAACAAGTTAATGAGATGTTACGATAATGGTGAGAGTGAGTTAGTTTTATTTATATTTTAAATAATGACCAATAAAATAAAAATATAAAAATATATGGCATCATTAGACTTAAGTTTGCGGTATTTTTTAATTATAAATTTAAATTATAAATAATATAACATGATTTTTTAATTATAAATATGAATTACAAACAAGTTAATAGAAAGTTAAGAGATAATAAAGAGATGTGAGGATAAGGTAGTTTTATTTATAATTTAAAGTGAAATCATCATACCTAACCTTATAAATCTACTTTTATATAAATATATATAGATTTTACTTTCATGTGGAACATTAGAGTATTTATCTTTTGACAAAGGCATTTCCTCATGTGTGTGTATTTTTTTTTTCCAATGATTATTTCATTTTGTTTTTAGATTTCACATTTTTTATAAGCCTGTTTTCTCCTTATTTTACAAAGATGTAAGTGTCAAAAGGGAAGTGTAATTGGTAGCATTTTTTTAAATAATAAACCTCGTCAGATGGTCATTGTGCCCCAGATGTCATACACTAAGCAAATCACGGTGAAATTGACAGGCTTTTAATAAAAAGACCAAATTGCCCCTAAAAGAACATGAATAAATTGGTCCAATGATTGAAAAAAATTTTATGTCTAACAAAATATGAATTAAATTTTTTAAAATTTGAGAGTATGGTTACAAGGAGTTTATTATTAAAAATTTATAAATTCATAAATATTTATTATTGATATACAATAATATATTATTAACAAATATAATAAATTAAGTATAATATAAAATATAATAAATGTTGAGTTGTTTGTTTGATTTGATTATATAATATGGGTTATATCTGTAAAAGTTTTAAAAATAATTAAAAAAATATTTCCCACTTACTAATATATGATGCTCAATGCTTTTAGAAAATAAAAAAAATAGCATTTAACCAATAAGTTAATATTTATAATTAATTTTACAGATTTACAAGTTAAGCTTCACAAATTTACAAATCTAACTTGTAAATTTACTAAATTTAATTTAAAAATATTAAAGCATATATTAATATTGGAAGAGATTAACTTGTAAATATATTAAGTTTCACTTGTAAATATTGATGACTTGAAAAAATTAAAGTATTAATATTTTAATAAAATATTTTTTCAAAAAATTATTTTTTAATCAATCAACTGTGGCCTGTGATTGGTCAACGGCCGCATGCCACCTGTGGGTCGGTTAACCTAATGAAAGAGGTACGAGTCCAAAAACATTTATATCATTTTATATATTAAATTAACTACAATTAAGTCATCTAGAATTTAACATCTCCTTTGATTGGTTGGAATTTGGGTTTTGGAAAAAGAAAAGGAAAAGGAAAGAGAAAATTCTTGGTTTGGTTGGCAGGAATTTGTCAACGAAGGAATCAAATTTAAAGTTCATTAAGGGAAGAGAGTGGAATTCAGGTTCTTGAGGCCAGGCCAAGGAAAATTTTATCTTTTTAGGAAAACAATTTTTATCCCAGCCTTCCCTTCTGGCGACACCCAGTGGTGGAACTAAAATCTTGAATCAGGAAGGGCAATCACGGAGCTAAAATTCTCAAACAAAAAAAGATATTTTTATCTCTTTCATATCAATTATTGCTCTTTTTTTTTATTTTTTACCTGACTTTTAATTGTAGATTCGTAAGTATAACGAGCTAGTGAAAAATATTCATTCAATTTACTCTTGATTTTTAAATCTTTATTATTTATCATTGTCTTTTTTTAACCAACCCCTGAGTAATATTCAGGACGAGGAGCAAGTCTATTTTGTTATATTAATTTTTTTTATTTTTAAATAATTAATAAATAATATTGGCATTTAAGTATAGTGAAATTGTAGGTTAATATTCATGAGGCTAAGTTAAAAATTTGAATAGATCTAGATTAAAAAAGTAAAATTAAAATGAGTTTAAAATTTAAAATATAAAAATAAATAGTGCAAAGTATAATAAATAAATAGTATAAATTTTAAAATATAAAACCTTATACTCTGAAACTTTTTTTTTTTTTTTTAGTGGAAAGGGGTATATGCCCCCGTCAATTACATGTCGCTCCACCAATGGTGACACCACAATCTTCGTTCAGCCTTTTGCTCCCAACCTTTGCCGTTATGGGAGAAAGAGCACTCGAATCTTCATTTTCTATTTCATTTCCTTTGTATTTTCACAAATGTGGTTCGATTAAGAAGAGAAGGGTAATATTGTCTTTTTACATTATTAAAAATTAATTTAAGAAAAATATGTTTTAAAGATTCGATTCATTCTTTCCAGCAAATCAGACATGCTTCTGAAACATATCCCTGTTCTTTTTCCTGTCTTTTCCATTAAAATTGTTCTAGCGAAGCGAAGAAGGCCTAGGAGTTTTTTTTTTTTTAACAAATTCATGGAACCTATATGTTAATAAATTTTTTAATTGGGACTCCTTTGTAATTTTGTCAATAAATATTCTATTAGAAAATTGATGCCATTTTAAGTCTCAAAAATTAGAAATGAATGCCAAGTGGCTAATGTTATTTTTTTTAATTATGTAAAAGACTAAAACACCATTTTAATCAATTACTTTGACTGTCTACCGGTGACCAATTACTTTCCTAGTGATACTGTCAGTAAGTAATAATAATATTTTTATTTAATATCTTTTTAAAATATTGATACTTTTATATTTATTTAATGACTTGATAAATATCAATTCTGTTTACAAATCTTTCCATATAATTTACAAGTCAACAAGTCAACTTTTGAGATCATTAACAAATCCCCCATCAATTTACAACCTAACAATTTTATAATTTAATGTGTGATAGTTTATAAATCTCTGTTCAAAATTTATAAGTCTCCCTTTTAAAATTTACATTTCAACAAGTGTATCCAAGAGCTATAAATGAATGTATTTTTTCACACACTAGATAAGTTTTAAATTAAGATTGTGTGATATTTCCTCTTGTAACATATCAAATTTTTAATCCAGAATTTATATAATTAAAGGTAAAATTAGTAAATTGATGAATTAATCAAGTTAATTACATTTTCGAATTACTAATGGATCTATTGGGTTGTTTGGATAGTTTTGAAATTGAGTTAGGATAATAATTGAGCTAATAAGGCCCAAGTGGAGGCCCAAATCATATGTGAGATATTGAAACACATGGCAAATATCTTGTGCATTGCAATGAATGGCACAAACTTTAGTTAAATTAGATGAGAATAAAAAAGAAGAGGAAAGAAAAGGAAATGAGAAGGGAGCTGGGTTTAACTTTGTTAGGGCTTCAATTTTGAGATTATTGGGAACTAATTAGACTTTTAAAATTTTGGGTAAGCTTTATATCTCCCTAATTTTCCTTTCTACTAGGATTTCTTTTACTTTTGTGAAATCAAAGATGATGGTTTTGCACGATCCAAGAGTTTGGATCCAAATCTAATGACTGAAATAAAATTATTAAGAATTGATTTAAGTTTCTATACTTAGAATTGGTGGTTTGAAGGAGTTTTATATTGGTGCTTTAGGGTTGGATAAACCCTATCCTTAAAATGAGAGTTATGGAGTTATGGGAACCCTTTATTGGTGTTATTTAACTTAATAGAAGTTAAATAAAGTTAATAAAAGATGATTAGGACTTAAGGAGCTTGGGTAATCTTATTTGAGCTATTAAGTAACTATGATTAGTTGGGAATTGCCATATAGTATTTCATCTTATAAATTGCCATTGCTCAAGTGCTCTTTGAGTAATTAGAAGCTAGAGAAGGGTAATAATTTCCATAGATAACCTTTTTAATGATAAAAAATTGAGATAACTAAATAATTTAGCTCGTTTATTTACTTATTTGTCTGGTATTTGAGTGTTTGTAAAATAAACTATTATTTAGTATATTATATGATGTAATTTTTTTTTAAAAATTATATGATGGGAATTGAATCTCAATAATTAAATATATGTGCTTGGAAAGATGAATTTAAGGAAAATTAATATGAATAATCATGATTGTGTGATGATAGGAGTTATAAAAAACATGATAATTAACAGAAGCATGAGTATATTTGGTATGATCATCAGATGGCGGGAGTTTGACCTCAAACTCAAAAGGTTTTTTTTAAATGAGATCTTAATTTTTAAATGTTTTAATTATAAATCTATTTCACCCTTTTCTATCATGATAACTAAGAGGGGATTAATCAAATCCTAGTAGCGTAATTTTGTGTGGAATATTATGATATTGTTAAGATGCATATTACACTTCTTATCTATTTTATAGGTAAATAGAGATAATTTTTTTGTACTCATTATAAGGCTTGCTGTCATTAAAAATACACTTATAGCATACTCTGTTTTTAGCAAAAAATAGAGTATGAAAATTTGATAGAAAAGTCATTCATCCCTTCTTTGGTATATTACCATTTCTAACACAAGAAAGCTTTGAGTTGCCAGTTGATCTATTAGAAAATTAATATATGTTTCACAAGCCAAGAATAGTTGCTCTAGTTGGCAAAGGGATTGGCCAACAACTATAAAGTTGTGGATTTGAATTTTACTGTTAATGTGAGAACTTTGTTAGTGAGCAATTCGTTAGTAACTTTATAACCCAACTTATCCAAACTTTTGTACTATAAAAAAATAGGTTGGGGTTATTGTCACAAGGCCTGCCCTATGAGCTTAAAGTCTATTTATTATTTAATATACATATATATAATATATTATTTATGTAAGTGTTGGCTTTGATGGCCTTAAAGCCTATATAAAGCTTTTAAAGCTTAGTGTGTAAGACTATTTAAAAGGTTAAGGATAAAGCTTTTTTAAAAAATAGACTTGCAAGTTAGGTATTTGATAGGCTTAGGGTTGAATTGAGACAAAAGTCTTATATAAATTTTAGGCTGGGTTTAAACTTTTAGTTTATTTAGCCAAAATTTAATTTAACCTATTTTCACCTTTATTTGCAAGGGTAGGTTCAAATTTCATTGTAGATGTTAAGCTTGTTACTAAATCTTGGTAAAAGATAGAAAGTAATTATTAAAAGAAAATGTACATAATAATTTCCTTCCTCAAGAGCAATATGTGAAAACATACAGAAACATTTTAAACTTGTATATGCTATCATTTTCCATTAGTATTTTTTTTTTAAATTTCTTTGTTATTACCCATTAGCAATCTCAGCGACGACCCAGGCCTAAGTATCTTTGAAGATTTTAGTTAGATAATATAGAACGAAATAAAAATATAATTATACTCTATTGAAGTTTATTTTGATTTAAATATTATTTTCTTTCTCCATTCTAACAATTTATAGTAATCTACTGTAATAGGAGTTACACAAGTTTTGATTTTTGGTTTTTGTTTGTCTTTCCGCTTTCACCTGTTAGTAGTCAAAAAGTTAGGGTCAGAGTGGAAGTGATCAGGCATGTGAGCCATAAGAACTAGAGGATTTGCCCAAATAACATATATATTACTCACAGCATGAAGAATACGTGGGGATACAAGAACAATGACTATTATTACAGATATTTGAAATCCAAGATAAAGAAAGATAAGATCTAGTCAACATGGCAATTTTTGACATGTTGTTTGGAAGTACAATTGCAGGGGGTGTTCTTAGAAAATAAAGTATGATAAACCACAAACCAAATCAAAGTTCAGACAAATAGAGTGATCTCAAGAGTTTCATGTCTTATCACTAAGCATACTTAAAAGCCAAATACATCTTCAGGTTTTGAGAGATCATCCTTCACACTGACCAAGCTTGCTCTTGCATCACTGAGTCGTTCTCCAAGATGCTTATTTGAGACTCCAACTGATCCAGCCAGGTCAACTTGTTATTATGATTGGCTTGCATATCCGTCACTCTTTGTCGAACAGATGCCAGCCACATCTTGTCAAAGCCAAAATGTTCCAGTTCATAGTATAGATCTTCAAATTCATTCATCTTTGAATTATCCATTGTCTTTGGTGTCTGAGTTTAAGAATGCCAACATGTCAGCCAAGGATTTATATCCCACCTTGCAAATCCTAGGAGTCCTTTGTTTGCGTTTCCATTGCCATAAATGTGGATATTTGACAAATGCCTCTTCGAGGAAGAAAGCACGCCTTGCCTTAATCTTAAACAGACCATGAAAATCAATCAACTCCTCTGCTGGAGGGTGCTGATTTGTTGAAGACGAAGTCCTCAGTGCTTCTGCAGTCAGGAGAGTGGTAGTGATGCTACTACCTGGTGAAAGCACTGTTGGATCCATAGACAGAGGAAGAGACACTACAAATAACAATGATACCAATTTCAATTTAAATATTTAAAATAGGAGAAAGTTTGGGAAGTCATCGCAGCAAGTTGCAATTTATTTGAAGCTTGGAAACATTTCAATTGAAATTTTAAAGTGGCTAACAGTTTGTGCAACTTGGATATGTACATTAGTTCTTTTGATTAACTCAAATGATACCTTTGTAATCTTCAAGAGCTTGTTGCGAGTCTATCACAATCTGTGGCGGTTCAAGTTTAACCTGTGGTTGTTTCACAATCAACTCCTGTATATATGATCAACAATTTTAGCCTTTTAGTTTATCCTCTGTATCATGTTATCCCATGAAGAAGAGTGCAGTGAGCCTACCTGTGATGAAGTTCCTACTGTTGATTCTTCTGACGCAGGATTTTTATGAAGACTTCCCTTTGATGTTTCTGTGTTATTCTGCACATTAATTGATAATTGATGCATTTTAGTTTCTAAGTTTAACTTCAGTGATCAACTTAATTTTATATACCTAAAATATAGTGTAATTTACTGAGAGTAATTCACAAATGTAAAAGAAAGTAATATAAATTTTGCTCTTAAAGGCCTTCTTGAGTGTCAACTACTAAATCAAATTCTTGCATCAAGACTTTTGATGCATCTTCTTCTACGACACCAGCAAGCCTTTGGACTTAAAAAACGAACTTCCTGTCAAGCTAGCAAGTGATTGTCGCAATTGTTAGGCTAAGTTGTAAATAATAGTGTGTGCCAATGCGCACTAGTATTACCTGCTTCGTAGCCTCCTCACCATCTTCTTGTCTTATTTCAGAATCTAAACAAGAGAAATCCCTCAACTTTGGACATACCACCATAAACCGTTCATCCAATTGCCACGTCACATGATAATTTTGTGGGCAAATGCTGATGACGTTTCGCAAGTTAACGAGCTTGAGTTTTTTCATAGCTGGAAGGTGAATGATGATCTGGTTCTGATTTTGATCTTTTTCATGATTATCTTCACCAAATACATATTGCAACTCAGCATCATCTTCTATTTCAAGACTCTCTAGTTGCAGAAGGCCACTGGCAAGAGAGATCGGCATTATGCATTTTAGATTTTCACAACTTTTTACCCTGACTTGGTTCAACTTTGGGAGCACAGGCCTTGCTGAAATATCATCATCATTGTCAACTGTAACCATATGCCTCAGTTCACCACAACCTATCACTTCTAGCTCTTCTAACATCACCATTTTTGAGCACAGGTAGCTGTGAAGAGAGATGCCAATTGGCTACAGTTTGTTATAAACATCTTCTGTAACTTCTCAAAAAGGCCAGAAGGAGGTGGACCATGGCAAAAGGCTTCCAAGCATTTCATGGCTTCCACTTTCAACACCTGCAACTTGGAGAAGATGATTCTAGCTTGATATGATTGATCATTTGTGGTGTCGATCAGCCATTTTATGCAATCAGAATCACGAAGCACAAATTCTTTTAACTCATCCAAACATTCACCCTGTATTGGAAATATGTCAGGAACGATGCTTGTACAATTCCCCAGAATTTTTTCAAAGAAAAGAACCTCTAGTGTCTGGGGCAATGCCTTGACTACTGCGTTTGGGATAGAGGCATCAAAATTATTTATTGATATGAGTTTAGACAACGAATAATCATCCTTGGAAGTATTTACGGAGCCTCCAATTTCTAAATGATACCTTTGGAGTACATTAAAGGAGCTAATTCGATGACAAATTTCAGCAACATTCTGATGTGCCTGCACCATATCTGGAAGATGATCTTCAACAAAATACAGCTCCTCCAGTTGGGAACATCTGGTAAGCACCTTATAAGGATTCCCTCCTATTTTGCAATGTGACACTTCCAATAATCTTAACGCCTTTAGATTTGCTAATTCTTCAGGCAGCTCTTTCATTTCACAATATAATAGCTCAACAGTGTGAAGCATCTCCATTTTTTGAAAAACAGAGATATCAATTAATGTCCATCCTCTCAAACAAAGAGTTCGAAGCATTTTTAGTCTATCAATTGATTCAGGTAGCAGTAGAACCGGGTTCATCCCAATAGATGTATTTTTTATGGCTAGCACTTTCAGTTTTACCATCTCCTTGAAAAACATATATGGGAATTTTGATGAGTATCCACCATTATTGGACACAACTAGTATCTCAAGTTCCGGGCAAATCAACTGATCTGGAATTTCTCTTATATCATGGCAATATAATCTGTTTGTATCTTTCATATATTTTGCCTCCGTCAAGGTTACAATCTGTCTAGGTCCCATACTCACTTGAGTTTTTTCCTTTGATTCCCATAAGGCCAAATCATGTAACAGGTCGTGTAATTTGACATATTGTCTTTCTTGCGATAACAAACAGTACTTACTGAACTTATCAATGGCTGCATGCACTTTGGACCTAGCTCCTTGATATGAGTCAATACCTTGAAATATGCCCAACCCAAATGCAAATCTGATTAGAACTTCAATAGCGATTTCTAAATGCTTGGGGAATAGAGCACATAATAAATAGAGTGATAGCTCCTCTGCATCATGCTTCAACGAATCTAAACTGAATTTCAAAGATGTGAAAGCATCATCCAGTCCTTCTTCAATATTTAGCGGCCATCCACGTTCTTTCAATGTTGCCAGTGCGTCTTTCCATGCAAAATGTTCTTGGCCCCTCAAAATACTGGCCGTAGCTTTAATTGCAACAGGTAATCCACCACATTCACGAGTGATCTCGCAAGCTGCTTGTTGGAATGTGTCTTTTATTTCTCCAGCATGACGTTGGAAAAATTGCCAGGATTCCTCTTCTGTTAAAAGTGACAAATAAATCATTTCGTGAAATTCCATGATGTCACATATCTGTTGCCGTCGAGTACTAAGAAGAACCTTGCAATTCTCACCAATAGGAATTCCGATGGCTTCAAAGTCAAGCTCTTGCCACACATCATCCAGAATTATAAGAAATTTTTTATCAACCATTCCAAATTCCATGCACAGTCTTGCAGCTCTAGATCGTACATTTTGCGCTATAGGCCCAAATTCCAGGCCCATCCAGCTTGCAATGCTTTCTTGAATAGCATGATAATTGGGAGGGTGGGACACAACAACAAATGCTGTCTGGTAAAGTTTAGAGTCATTCACTTCCTTGTGCAATTCTTTTAACAGGGTTGACTTACCACAACCCCCCGGTCCACAAAGCCCAATTTTTATCTTCTTATCATCTCTCAGTGCCTTTAAGATGTTGTTGCGTGCTTCTTCTGTGCTCTTGAATAGAATGAAATCTTCTGCTGGGCCCATGGGTTGAAGTAATGGCAACAGTTCTCGTCTCAAACTTGCATTAAGATACTTCATTGCTACCGTTTCCTTCTCTGCTTTCTTGCCCACAATATATCGACGTATCCAGTTTGGGCAAGCCCCATAGCAACAGCTCTGGCTTGCTTCTGCTTTATGTTTAAGCGTCTCCGCTTTTCCTATCAGATACTCTGCTTTAAGCAATTGACGCTGAAGGACATATGACGGCTCTTTACAGTTGGCTCTCTCTCTTCTTAATTGGGCTAGCATGTCATTTGTGGTTGACATTAAGTTGTTTTGTTCATCACCCAGCTCTTCAACAAGCTCATTGAACTGATAACAATAACGAACCTCCCGTCTCATCGCCGACACTCAATTTACTAGAACCCCTGCCCCAAAACTGACTCCCAATTCCGCATCGGCCATTGAAAGTGATCTAACCTGAATAGAAATGAACAGAAATGTGTCATTCATGCAATAGCAAGGTAAGTACACCATAGACGAATCTATAGTTACCAAAATTCATTTGAAGTTGAATGATCGGATAACATATATCGAAGATGCGTGCGTCTAAATTGTTTGCCCTTATTTTATAGTTATTGTTTTAGAATATGTTTTATTGGCATAATTACTAGATTGTATACTTTCCATTAGTATATTATAAATCATAATGGAAACTTTTTAATTTTCTTTTCTTTTCTTTTTTCTTTTTGATGAACAAAAGACTTGTTAATTTGTTGTGTTTGTATTTTTGTAGGACATGTAAGGAGAATTTCATTTGAGGCCCCTCAAGCAACTTTATTACTCTAAATTAGGTCCCTAAGATTATGAAATTCTACTGCAAGCCCAAGGGCTCAACCTGTATTTTTTGTCAATTGGGTAAACACCTCCTCTGGAAAAAACCAAAAAAAAAAAAAAAAAAACCATCCTACCAAAAAGAAAATTTTATTAACAAGTGCCTGTGCGTTAATCAATAACAAGCCATGCGTGACAACAATAAATTCACTTGATCCCTGTCAACGAGGTTAACAATCAGGAAAAAGAAGAAGGGGCATTTAAGTAATTAACAAAAATATTTCCAGATTGAGCCTTTCAGTTTGCAGTGGAATTTCAGAATCTTAAAGTGCTCAATTTGGAATAAAATTTTGAGAGGCTTAGATGAAATTCTCCCTTAGATGTAAATGTTATTTGCACTTTCCTATTAAAAGAAAGAAATAATGCAATTTGGAATGTGACAGAGATCAAACTAAGATTCAAGTCAATAATAAAATTGAAATGAAAACATCAAAATTCAAATACCTAATCTAGTATAGTAACTTGATGTTATTGGTTTCAATTTTCTATAATTCCCAAACAAAAAATTTTAAACGCATGAATTTTATATGCAGTATTTTAAATCTGAAATTCTCTTAAAAGTATATTTGAAATGGAAGAGACAGTGATGCACACAAACATTTTCCAAGTTCCTAATTCCAGGAAATTCAAAATATATATGTAAGAGGGAGATCGGGGAGGAAAGATAGAGGGAAAAGATCTAAATCTGTTTCACATTCCTTTCCCCCAAAATCACTTAACCTTAAATTTAAAGCTTAAATACAGTTTAGCTTATCCATGACATAGTTAATCCAACTTTGCATACGTTTACTGCCACTAAAAAAGAAAAAATCAGGTCATTGGGTTATACATATTACTGAAACTTGTAAAATTTTTAAGTAAAAAATCTTCAATAATCCATCATAAAATGAAGAATGTTTATTGCAACTTACAAATTACTCTACTTTTTAACAAGTAGCGAGTCTTGGAAAATAAATCACTTAAGGTCTTTGCTTTCTCATTGGCAATTTAGGTATTTGGTCCGTAGCTAGAATAAACTGATTGCTTAGGGCATTTTATAATGTTTTTGGCCTGATAAGAGAACTATACCCATCTGAAAATCAGGCCATCTATTGCAAACCAAAGAATTACAGGCTACACACACACATACACACATAAATAAAAAACTAGTCTTACCACTACCTGCTTCATAGCCTCCTCATCATCTTCTTGTCTTATTTCTGAATCTAAAGAAGATGCATCCCTCAACGTTGGACATGCCTCCACAAACCGTTCATCCAATTGCCACTTCACACGATAATTTTGTGGGCAAATGCCGATGATGTTTCGCAAGTTAATGAGCTTGAGTTTCTTCATAATTGGTAGCTCAATGATCATCTGGTTCTGATTTTGATCTTTTTCATGATTGTCTTCGCCAAATACATATTGCAACTTAGCAGCATCTTCTATTTCGAGACTCTCCAGTCGCAGAAGGCCACTAGCAAGAGAGATCGGCATTATGCATTCAAGATTTTCACAACTTTTTACCCTGACTTGGTTCAACTTTGGGAGCACTGACCCTACTGAAATATCTTCATCTTTTTCGACTGTAACCATATTCCTCAGGTCACCACAACCTATCACTTCCAGCTCTTCTAACATCACCATTTTTTGAGCACAGGTAGCTGTGAAGAGAGATGCCAATTGGCTACAATTTGTTATAAACATCTTCTGTAATTTCTCAAAAAGGCCAGAAGGAGGTGGACCATGGCATAAGGCTTCCAAGCATTTCATGGCTTCCACTTTCAACACCTGCAACTTGGAGAAGATGATTCTAGCTTGATATGATTGATCATTTGTGGTGTCAATCAGCCATTTTATGCAATCAGAATCACGAAGTACAAATTCTTTTAACTCATCCAAACATTCACCCCGTGTTGGGAATATGTCAGGAACGATGCTTGTACAATTCCCCCGAAATTTTTCAAAGCAAAGAACCTCAAGTGTCTGGGGCAATGCCTTGACTACTGCATTTGGGATAGAGGCATCAAAATTATTTACGGATATGAGTTTAGACAACGAATAATCATCCTTGGAAGTATTTATGGAGCCTCCAATTTCTAAATGATACCTTTGGAGGACCTTAAAGGAGCCAATTCGGTGAAAAAATTCAGCAACATTTTGATCTGCCTGCACCATATCTGGAAGATCATTTTCAACGAAATACAGCTCCTCCAGTTGGGAACATCTGGTAAGCACCTTATAAGGATTCCCTCCTATTTTGCAATGTGACACTTCCAATAATCTTAATGCCTCTAGATTTGCTAATTCTTCAGGAAGCCCTTTTATTTCACAATATGATAGCTCAACAGTGTGAAGCATCTCTAATTTTTGGTGAACAGAGATATCAATTAATGTCCATCCTCTCAAACAAAGAGTTCGAAGCATTTTTAGTCTGTCAATTGATCCAGGTAGCAGTAGAACTGGGTTCATCCCAATGGATGTATTTTTGATGGCGAGCACTTTGAGCTTTACCATCCCTTTGAAACAAGCATCTAGGAATTCTGTTGAGCATCCATTATCATTGGACACTAGTAGTATCTCAAGTTCAGGACAATTCAACTGATCTGGCATTACATATATATTACGGCCATATAATCTGGTTGTATCTTTCATATAATATTCCTTTGTTAGATCCTCTAGACTTTGTCTGGGACCCATAATCACTTGAACTTTGTTCTTCGCTTCCCATAAGGCTAAGGCACGCAACATGTAATGCATTTTAACACACTGCCCTTCATCATGTAGCAGCAAACTGTGTCTTTTGAATTTATCAATGACTGTTGGCACTTTCGACCTTGCTCTTTCATATGACTTGACATCCAGAAATATGCCTAACCCAAATGCAAATCTGATGAGATCTTCAATGGCAATCTCTGAATTGTTAGGGAACAGAGTACATAATGAATAAAGTGATACCTCTTCTGCACCTTCCAACTCATCAATACTACATTTTAGACATGTATAAGGATTATCCGGTCCTTTTTCAATATCTAGTGGCCGCCTACGATCTTTCAATGTCGCGAATGCTTCTTTCCACTCATGAAGTTCTTTAGTCCTCAAAGTACTAGCCACAGCTTTAATTGCAACAGGTAATCTGTCACATTCATGAGTGATCTCTTGAGCCACTTGTAGGAATGAATCTTCTACTTTACCAGCATGCATTTGAAACAGTTTCCAGGCATCCTCGTTCGTTAAAAGTGGCAGCGGAATCACTGCATCTTTATCAAATTTCATCATGTCAAATATACGTCTATTCCGAGAACCCAGAAGAACCTTGCATTTCTCACCGACAGGAACTCCTATGGCTTCTAAGTGAAGCACATCCCACACTTCATCCAGGATTATAAGATACTTACTTTCATCATCCATTGCATCAAATGCCATACGCAGTCTTGCAGCTCTATCTTGTACATTTCGCTCTGTCGGCCCAAATTCCAGGCCCATCCGGCTTACAACGCTGTCTTGAATAGCTAGATAATTTGGAGGATTGGACACAGTAGCAAATGCCGTCTTGTAAGGTGTGGAGTCTTCAACTTCCTTCTGCAGTTTTTTTAACAAGGACGACTTACCACAACCCCCCATTCCCCAAAGCCCTATTCTTATCTTCTTATCATTTCTCACTGCCTTTAAGATTTCTTTGCCAGCCTCTTCTGTGCATTTGAAAGGAATAAATTCTTCTGATGGGCCCATGGGTCGAAGTGATAGACGACGTGATAATAGCTTTGGCCCCAATTTGTCATGGAGCGTCTTCAATGCTTCCTTGTTCTTCTTTGCTTTCTTGGCTACAGTGTATCGACCTATCCAGTTAGGGCAAGCCCCATTGCAACAGTCCTGGCTTGCTTCTGCTTCCCCTTTCAGCTTCTCCGATTCGGCTATGAGAACTTTTGCGTCCTTCACCTGCTCCTTAAGGTAATCCGAAGGCTCTTTAGTGTTGACTCTGTCTTTACTAAATTGGGCTTCCATGCCAGCTCTGGTTGACTCTAATTTCTGTTGTCCAACATCCATGTCTGTAACAATCTCATTGAATTCATAACAATAAAGAGCTTCTCGTCCTATTGCTGTCACCGCACTTGCTGCAACATTCGCCCCCAAACTGACTCCAAAGTCGGCCATTGAAACTGATCTGACCTGAATAAGAGAGTGTAGAAAGTAAGTCATTCATGCAAATAGCAAGGCAAGTGCAATAGATGAATATGTAGTCATCAAATTTCAAAAGCGTTTCAAGTTGAAAGAGGCCACCGTACATATTGAAGATGCAACGTGTCTAGCATTTTTCTTTTATTGTATAATTATGTTTTTTAGAATTTTATTTATTGACATAAATATTACGGTATCATATTCCCAACACATAAGTACTCTCTTTAGACATTATTATAGGAGGTTTGTTTACTCTCTCAAACAAGTTCTGATAGTAATGACTAGAGGGAGTGTCCATAAATCATAATGATTAGTTACGTTTGCATTGTGTTTCAGCACGATTATCTTTTATATGTAATTTATTGTTATTAATTTCACATTCACATTTAAAGAAAAAGAGCGAAGGCCGGAGTTAATGGGAGAGGTTCGAAACTAAAATTCTAGAAGTCACAATCCTATTAAATTGAAATGAGAAGCCAGAAATTCATTCAAATCTTTAATGTACCTTTGAAATAAGAAATCGTTTACCTATTTGAGGGATCCCCCACCCCTCAAGAGGGAAGAGGGAGGATAGCGAAAATCAACATCTATTGTACGTAGAAGCTTACGCATAATCTAAAATCTCAAGTACTAAAATTACATGGTACTGTTGGAGGGGAGAGGATTCTCTTCTCTTCCTTCCCATTCTCTTTCCTCCTTTTCTCAATTTCTAACCATTAGATTAAAATTTTGGATAATTCAAATTTGATCTCTTTTAAATATTTTATTACTACTTTACTTTTATTGTGTTTTTAATGTTTTTCTTAAATTTTAGTCATTTGAATTTTATCATTTACATTTTTATTAATTTAATAATTTGACAATTTTTAAGAGATCAAATCTGAATAGTTCAAATCTAATCTAATGGCTAACAAGAAAAAGAATGAAAAAAGATGGGAAAGAAGAGGGAGAGAATCTATACCTTTCTTGGAGCACCCAAAAATTTCTATTGATTCGATCTTATAAATATGGATCCTCTCCACTATTCAAACTTATTTAGATACATCTTGGAAGTAGTATCCTTCCTTTCTTCTTATTGATCAATCACAACGTAACCCTCTTCTACTTTGTAAGCAGCTGCTTCATGCTTGCCAACACCACATGGTCCTTGAAATTGCGTATGCTGCATCCACATTGCCTCAAAATATGATTTGGTTGAAAAGCAAAATAACAAGGGGTGATGACTGATGATTAGAATATATTCGAACTTTGATCAATCATGTCAAAAAAATCTTGCTACCACTTGTCATTACATACACCCTAGTCAAGCAGATCTCATATATGCCTACTAATGAAGTCGGTAATTTGAATGAGCTTGACGGATTAAATTGAACCCGCTTGAAAATATTTAGGGTCTAGCTTTAAAAAGTTAGGGTTTTTATGTTTAAACCTATTCGAGCTACCCAAATAGGGTTAAAGAAATTCGGGCCAAGCCCAATTGGGTTCAGACTTGGCCCGAATACCCAAATAAAAAAATTTATTTTTAAAAAATATATAAAATATAATAAATATTAATTAATTTTTAAGTTTTGAGTCATTCTATGCTAAGATATCTCATATATTTGAGTCCTATACATCATTTAAGTATCAAAAATATATATTTTATATTTTTATAAAATAAAATAATTAATTTTAAAGTTAAAAAATTAATTAAAAATGATTTTTAAAATAAAATTCGGATATTTGGGCATCCCAAAGCCGAAGGAGTTCTAGTTGGGCTTAATTATTCGAGCTTTTTTGAGAATCGGGCCTATTTAGGTTTGGACCTATTTGGGTTGGGCTTATTCGAATCGGCCTACTTAAATTTTTAGTTATACCTACTATTTTTCCTGCCGCTTTTAATTCTCCATATGTAAATGGTTCTTTCTGCTTCTATTTACACTAACCCGCAAAAATGGATCTAATCTTTAAAAGGATTGCATCTATGCAAGTTAGGTTTAATACCTTTGCTCTACTATAAAGAGAGATGCAATATAATTGAAAGCATCCATCATTTATATCTATTCATAGTACTCGATGACAGCTTAATTATCCCACATTGTTTCCTTCCTACCTTGTAAGGCATTACATTCACCATTCAAAATCCTACTCTTAACTGTATGTTGAGGAACTAATCCGTTCTCAAGTTTACTCCTCAAATTATTCTCCTACCAATATATCCCAATACCACCCACAAATCATATAGGTTCAATGTAAATGAGATGTTTCATTATTCAAGTAGTTTTTCTTTTGCTTGATCAAGGTTTAATGAATGCAACCAGATTTGGTTTATTCTCCCTCAACAGATCATTGCACGCTAGTGCAAACTTGTTACTTGCTACTTCCCAAAAATTGTAGCACTAAAGGAATAGCCTGCTTATTTACTCATGTTTACCTCTAGGACCAAGTATTCCTCCTGGCCTAAATCCACATTCATGTCCATGCACAAATCATTGAATAGAAAAATCATCCATTTTGATTTCTAAATAGAAAAATATATTTCTACTCGATTGTTTGGTTTTAAAATAGAAAAATATGAAAATATATTTGTCCAACATGATTTTGAAATATTTTTATGGTGCTAATTTTACTAAACATAAGGCAAAATATATTGATATAAGGGTATAGCATCATTGTAAACTTCATTTATTTTATTTTCTGCATGTTTTTTCCTGCCAAACACAAGAAAGGATAACATTGGAGCTATTTGAAACTGTTTTTTATTTATTGTTCTGAGAACTAGTGTTTTGTAAAACATGTTTTGAGAACAAAAAAAATATTTTTCTTATTTTTTCTGTTTTTTAAAATAATATTTTAGTTTTTATTCTTTAAAATACTTTTTAAAAATATGTTATCAAATATTTTTTTTTTGTTCTTTTGTTCTAAAAATAGAAAAATATTTCCATAACATATTACCAAACAGGTCCATTATTTCTCCAATTTTATTTTCTCTCTCTTCTCTTTCCTCCTAACTTTTCTTCCCATCCCAATAAAGTAGTATAGTTAGCTAGGGATATTAGGTGAAAAAATTATGCTTAAATAGAACATGTTATATTATAAAATATGTTGGAGATACTTGTAATTAATAAGGCTGGAGGAAGTGTTTCGCATGTAAATTTTAATATTGACTTGTAAATCTCAAATGTTTGATATGTAAATATGATTATAAAATTTATTAAATTAATAGCTTTCTTTGATCCACAGTTACCGGTCAACACTCCAATCAAATAAGGTAAGTCTAAAGGTATTTGTGTTATTTTATTGTTAGAAATTAGTTACCACTAAACCAATCCTAAAGAATTTGAGAATGTTTTATTCAAATTCCACAATTCATAATTTTCTTAAATTCTTATTCTGTTTTACGCCCCCTCCCTTCCAAAATTCGGGAGGGCAAATAATAAATTATAATTTTGTCATGCAAGGATTAAATGCCTATTTTTTTTTTTAATTTTCCAAACTGTCCAAACAAACAAATCACCGTATCCAGATCCCTCATGGATCATTCAACAAGACAGACTTAGGTCCAAGAGTATCATCTCATTTGTGCTATGCAAACTCTCCATTGGTCACGTCTCTCGGCTACCGCGAGCGGAGGAATGTGCAAATCTATCCTTTAACTATTTGGGAGGCGTGATTGGTACATTTTAAAAGGCACTGGAAAAAGAAGAAGAAGAAGAAGGCACAATGTCTCTTAATTTATTTTAAAGAGTAAAAATGTCTTGAATTTTTTATCCCTAAAATGACTAGTATTCTAAACTTTTTTTAAAACTTTCAGGTACAATATTACCCTTTCCTTAAATATGAAAAAAAGTTATAGTTAACATGATGAAGAGTATTATAATATCTTTCATTCTCCTTCTTCTACATTTTCCTCTATTTGCAACTTCCTAGCTTATCTTATCTCCCATGTCTCTCTGAGTTCTATCTTCCACTTATGTTTTGTTTGGATGGGGGGAGAATATGAGAGGAAAAAAATGTGAGAAGAAAATAAAAAAAATAACTTTTTTTCTTGTTTGGATGAAAAAGAAAAAGTGAAAGGAAGGAAGAATATAGGAGAAAATTGGGTGTGAGAGTCACCATATTTTCTCTTCACAAATGTAAAGATTTTGAGAGGAAAATATTTATTTCACATATGCCCTTTTGCTTCTTCACACATGAGTATTTGCTTCATCATCTTTTACCCTTTATTTTTTTGCCTCATGACCTCAATGTTCTGATTTACATTATATTTGCTATAATAATTTATTTACTACACTATAATAAGTGATACTAACTATTATAAAAATAATTTAATACTGATTCACATAATTTTTATGATGGTAAAAGTCTTTAGCTTAAAAATTAAAGACCTCGCATTACTTTGTCTTAGTGTTGTGCATGTCTCCATCTTCTTTGTAAACTGCATGTTTTTATAAATATGTGCCTTTCATATTTTTATGATATTATGAATATATATTATTTTTTATGTTCTGTTTCATATGCTGGTTGTGGAACTCATGACTATAAGTAAAAGCAAAATACTCTCACCAACCAAACAAGAGCTGAATTGAAATTTATTTATTTAGTTACTATATTTAATTTTAAGAAATTATACACTTTTTAATTTTTTGTAAATAAAAAAATAATATATTTTTACTAAATTATTTGGTTTAAAATATAATAACATGAAAGTAATTTCTACCAAATAATTGATTTTAGATTATTTTGATGATGTTAATTTTTATATAATGTTTACTTTCAATATATTTTTACACATCTAGTTACGTTAAACATATATATTTAATATAAGAGTATTATAATTATTATAATATTTACTCATTTTTTTCTTATTTCTTCTGTGCGTTGAAAAATATTTTTTTTAATTTTACTTTTTTTTATTTTCTTTTCTTATATTTTTTTTTTCAACTTTTCTTTTCATTTAAATGGAGAGTCAAGTGGTGAAATGAGATATTGAAATTCGAACATGGCGTGGAACCTTTAGTCACATATCCAAACTTACTACTCACGAACTCTGTTGAGTTCTTCATAACGGATTTCAGATCCCCGAGAATCTCGCTTGCGACGGTGGAATTCAACTCCTCCAGAGTGTACAGAGAAGTCTCCTGGTACGTAATCATAGCGTTCAGCCACTTCTGAACGTTGTCGATCTTCGACGGCGAAAGGATCTTCCCGCCGCTGCCGTCGCCCTCCAGCGACGATTGACTCATTGAGTCAATCCACTGCATCATCAAACACGATTCTGCACCCATCGATCGCCTTCTGAACACGCCGATCCTTCACATTGACTTGAGCTTGGAAGGGAACTTCGAGAGATTGGAGAGCTCATCACGGCGACTCGGAGACAGAGCTTGAGAGAAGATCTGGATCGGAGTGTTAGGATTATGGAGGAACGAGATACTGGATAAACACGAGTGGGGTACTGAGTGATTGTTGTTCCATGAATTCACCATTGTCGAGATTCTTGCTGCCAATCTGACCATGATTGCATGTCCCTCCTCCGTGTTGGTCGATATGGGTTGCTGTTGTTGCTTTTTTTTTTTTTTGGGGTGGTTTCTGGATATTTGTTCTATTTGTTCTTGACTTACAAGCTTCTTGACTTATGTTTTTTATTTTCTTCCTCTCTACTCCTTGTTTTCTCACCGATGGATGCTGAGGTGAGAAGATTTATTGTTTTTTTATTGTTGTTGAAAATCTGCTATTCCATGATCTTTTTATTTTTCACGAGAATGACTGCAATTTTCTATCTGCATTAGTGGAACTAGGGATGTGCATAGCCAGGTCGGACTGGGCAATGAACTCGAAGCATGACCCAGAAAGTGGACGGGCTAGGTCTGTTAGCCCGACACCCCACCTTGCCCGAAGATTGACCAAGGTTTGTAGGGTCAGGGTCGGGCTGATGAGTATCTCCAAGTCCAACCTCCGTCCCTTTTTTTTTTTTTGTAAGTTGGTGCTTAAAAAATTCAATCAGGAAGAATAAATTGATCACAAAGATGAACAAAGGGCAAAACTTTCTCGAGCGAGTGACGAGAAGAAGGATCGATTAGAAAGAAACTTCATGGGATCGGAGCTACGAAAGAGCAGGAGGTGGAGTACGAGGCGTCGTTTGTGATACCTGTTGGAATATTTATTTATCTATTTGCATTATTTAATGAATTTGGATTGCTCTTTATAATCTTATATGAATCATAATAAGTGAACTATATAATTAAATTCAATAAACAGAAGTTCAATTTACAACTCTACAACTATCACTTATTTTCTATTTTTTAATTAATTGGATCAAAGTTAATGAAATATAATTAATTAATTTATTTGTTAAAGTGGCTATTGATTTGATTATATAAATCAATATACACCAATTAGTTGATAACTACAAAGATAATTTAGGTTTTGTATTTAGTCAATGAATTTTTCACGCATGCATATCACTTTAGTATTATTAAATTTATATAAATTGAAAGCCTAGAGTTAACACATACCTGAAAATTTGGAAGAAGTGGGATCTGACTCTTAAATCGGAACTTAATAGCTTGAGATTCCAACCGCTGATCGTGGCAGCCACCTGGCTCGTCAACACCACCGCCTCTATTAATTGGAAACGACAACGTCGAAGGAGGAGGAGCTGACAGATCTAAGAAGCTTGAAGACGGAGCAGAAGGGATGAAGGAATGTCGACGCCGGAGATCTGAAGATGGAGGAAGTCGACGGCAAAGAAATCAGGGGAACATTGCGTCTTCGAAAAAATTAGGATACAAATTGCGCGCCCCGAAAGACTTCAGGAAAGATTTGCACCATTTTTCTATATGTACATAGAGTACATGTTTTTATATAATTACTCATTATTTATGGATACAAACTAGATAAGATTATGTTGACCTTGAGACTCTTCTAACAGAACCGCGTACTTAGATCTTAAACCCAAAATCATTAACTAAACTTGCACAATCTCACATGGGCTAAGGTATGAACAATAGAGGAAGAGAGAAGTTGGAGGAGAGAGTGGACTTTTTCGTAGTTAGTGTAGACAAATGTGAAAAATCACAATTTGAATACTTAATACAAATAAATGCAAATAAACAACAAAGAAGAAAAAATAAGAAGCAAATGGAACTGTGAAAAGCAAGAGACAAATATAATGTAGGCTAACCTGATATAGATGGCGGCGGCTTCAAAGATCAAACTTCTTCAAAGCAATCGCAGCTCCCTCTCCTTCTCTGTTTTCTTTTCTTTTTTGAAGGAAATAAACTGACGGCCAAAAGAAATTTGAAAAAAAAAGTTGCGGTGGCACAAGAATCACCAGAAACAAAAGGATTTTCTTTTTTTAAGAAAATAAGCTGATGATTAAAAGAAAATTAAAAGAATTGTTTTGGTTCAGAGTCACAAAAATCACAAGAAGCGAAAGGAATTTTTTTTTTGAAGAAAGTAAACCTATGATCAACAGAAATTTGAAAGAAATGTTACGACCGCACAAGAAATCACAACAATCAGAAGGATTTTATTATTTTTTTTTGGAGAAAAATAAACTGCTGATGAAAAGAAATTGAAAGAAAGGAAAGATACGGCAGCAAAAGGAGACAGAAATCACAACAAACAAACGTATTATATATATATATATATATATATTTTAAACTTTTCTTGATAAAACGACTCAGAGAAAGCTCGAAAGTGGTGGTAAGGACTCAGAGAAAAGACTCAGATAAAACTCAGAAAGTTCGACGGCATTGAAGCGAAATTTGCAGAATCCGATGAGAGATTATGGGAAAGGTAAGGCGGCAAGCAAGACTTTGTTTAACGAGAAAAGTCCACTCTCAAGGCCTTTTTTTAATTCATAAAATAATTGACACTACAAGTATTAAAATGTCATTAACAGCATCAATCACTATTAAAAACATCACTGCACCCCTGAGATCAGCTTCGGTGTTCATCACATGATTAGCAATCTTAACCATTTAAAATTTTAATTTAAACAGTTCAAATTTTTATTATTTTATTTTAAATTTGATAAAATAAAAATTTTAAATTTAATAAATCTACTTTATCATTAATTTGAATAATATATATTAATCTGAATGATAAATTTAATATTAATATTTTTATAATTTTTATAAATTAACGATCCAAACATATTCTGAAATTTTAAAATTTAAAATTAAATTATTTTTAAAAATTTAAAAAAAATTTAGTAAATATAATATTAAAAAAATAAAAATAAAGATATGTTCAAAATGAATTTTCAAAAAAAATTATAATTTAAAAATTTTAAATTTAAATTATACAGAATATATCTGAATAGTTAATTTATAAAATACTTAATATTAAATTTATCATCTAAATTAAATTTATATTGTTTATATTGATAATAGAATAGATTTATTAAAATTTAGAATTTTTATTTTATTAAATATAAAATAGAATATTAAATCTGAACCTTTTTAATTTGAATAATTCAGAGCATTTATCATGTGATAAGTACTGAAATCGATCTCCTGCACCTGCACCCCCCGCTCGCGCGTTTTAAAAGAAAAGAAAAGAAAAGAAAACGAGAGCGCGCGCGTTTTTTAAAAAAGAAAACGGGCAAAGCCCAATGAACTTTATTCATTGGAACTCAAGTGTGGGATGGAAATCTCCCTCTGCTTTCTATTTTGGGGTATCTTCTAAAATTTTCTTATAGTTTTTAATATAAGTCACTTTGCATGAATATTTAGAGTATTTTTTTTTCCTCAAAATGCCCTTCCTTAATTAGGATAGAAAGAATGTTTGATTTTCAAATTGATAATATTAATTACTGTTAAACTTATTCAATTTTAAGACCAGTTTAATAAGGTAATTAATTTTCCTTGTTCGAATTAGATAAAAGTAACTTATATTAAGAGAGTGTGTGTAGCGTGAGAGAGAGAGAGAGAGAGAGAGAGAGAGAGAGAGAGAGAGAGAGAGAGAAGCTCATTATGAAATGGCCCTAGGTTTTGGAAGACCCTCCTATCCATTACCCATTGTGGTTCCTCAGGAAACCACAATATACACAACGTGAAGAAGAAAATGAGCAAAGTAGGTACCCCCTGCTATTATAAAGAGTGATGTCATTAAGTGCAAGAAGAAAATGAACGTTTTTGCCTTTCAACTATTTTTCGAGAGCCTAGACTTTGAGAGCAGGGTCAAAACCAAAAATTTTTATTTAGAAAAGTTGAGATGATAAAGTATATAATAATTAAAAAATTTAAATATATATATATTATATATTATCAACATAAGATAAATATTCTAACATATACTCCCTCCATTATAAAATATAAGGTATTTTTAATCAAATTTTACCTTTTAATAAAGTGGTTATTTACTTTCAAACTAATTATATCTTTTCATATTTTATCCTATTAAACATCCTATAATAAATATAAAGTTACCATTAGTAAGGGCACTTTTAAAAAAGACAATGATTATACCTCAAAAGATTAAAAATACCTTATTTTTTAACATTTAATTTGTTAAAACATGCCTTTTATTTTTAAATGGATGGAGTATATCTATATTGAATTGTACACATATATAACAATATATATATATATATATATATATGTATGTATATTATATTACGTTTTGCTCATCAATTTTCATGATATAAAAATAATTAGTTATTATATTTATGATAAATGTTTTAAAAATTTTCCTTTTGACATAGATTATTATCAAATGGGTAAAAATTTTATCATGCTTATGAGCATTAAATAATTTAAATGTATCATTAGAATTTAAAATTCTGTTCAATGTAGTAAGCTCTATCATTTATTTATTAAATTTACTATTTAATTCTTTTAATTGATAATCGTAGTAAATAAATATATCAACACAATAATAAAACTCAACTTATCAAATTATATGAGAGTAAAAATTATTTATACCATAAATTTCTTTCAATATATCAAGCACATCAATACTTTTAAATAAATAACTTATGATAAATATCAAGTACATAGCATTCAATGCTATCTTGAGATTTTTGTTATAGTACTTAACAAAGTTTGTTAATAATAGTTCTCATAATTTTTTTAATCAAATATAAAATAAAAGCAAAATAAAAATGACATCAATACTTTAAAAAAATGTATAGCATTATCTTGTTAAAAATAAATAGATTATATGACAACCACATCTTTAAGCTATTGAAATAGTTGCTCTATATATACATAAAAGACTACATATAGAATTGAAATGAGAATTTTATATAGTATTTCATAACTTTCATGATGTGCTAACTTAAGAGAGTCGAAAATATATAACCTTTATATTTTATCCAAAAAAAATTAAAAAGTTTTCGGGCCATGACCCCTGCCGGGTCCCCCCTCTCTCCACCCCTCCTTTTGAGTATGTTGGTGATAAGAATCTTAAAAACTAAAAAAAATTGCAAAAATTGCTATAAGGGCAAAAAATACCCTTACAAAAACTTAAAGAGAAAAAATATCTTTTTTTTTAATTACACTTAATGGTGTTACTTGCTCTTAACAGCATGGGAAGAATTGCACCGCTTTTATAACTTTAAGGACCACATTGCATCACTTAAAAGTTTTTGGAGTTAATAATATGCTCCTTCACCACAACATATTTTATCTATGGCAATGGCTAAAAACCCTTGCTTATATGTATAGGCACTACTAAGTAGCATTAGTGCTCCTAATGAAGGGAGCAAGAGATTGGTGGGAGACAGTGGGACCTAAGGATGATTCGACACTCACATGAGAAGAGTTTAAGGGAAAAAAATTGTTCAGGCATTACTTTCCATCAAAGTTAAGGTCTGAGAAGGAAGCTGAGTTTCATGCTTAAGCAAGGAAACCTATATGAGGACACATTCATTGCTAAGTTTCAGGAGTTATCTAGATACTCCATATACTTGTAGTATAGGGATGATTCTGAATGGAAGGTCAAGCGCTTATTGGAGAAGGCTAGACCAGAATTGAGGGAGCAATTGATCTGAGACTATAATGAAATGTGCATAAAATTGCAAGTAGTAGCTCACAGTAAGAGGGAGGTTGAGAGAGAGAAGAGGGGGTATTCATATAGTAGACCCCCAACCTATCCCCAACCACAAGAGGCATTGAAGAAGAACTATCAAGTTCAAGTAGCTCATGAAACCAGGGAAGGCAGAAGGGTCCATTTCAAAAGGGCCAAGGACAGAGGAGCTATCATAGTGGTTATTACAAATTATAGAGGGGCCCAACAGTATCTACCCCTGCTCCGAGTACAGTGAGCTCTCAGCAGTGCACTAAATGCGGGCGTCGTCATTTCGGACAGTGCTGGGTCTGTTACATTTGTGGGAAACCCGGTCACATTGCAAAGTTTTGTGGGGACAACCAGGGCTCAAATATGAAGAACCCTTCCCAACATCCTACTGTCTCTGGTCGTGTGTTTGCTCTTACTCAGGACACCATGAACTCCCCAGATGCCATTAGAGGTAACATCAAAATCCTTCATCATGATATTGTTGCACTATTTGATTCGGGTGCTACACACTCTTTTATTTCTGAAACTTGTGTAAAGAACCTTGATTTGCCTGTGTGTATTTTACCTTTTGATATGAATGTGTCTACTCCTGCGGGAGAATCTGTGAGGACCGCTAAGGCATGTCTTAACCTAGTAGTCGAGTTTAAAAATAGGAAAACAACTATGGACTTAATTATCCTACCACTGAGAGGTATGGATGTAATTGTGGGAATGAATTGGATGGCTGCAAATGGTGCTATCTTAGATTGTAGAGAGAGGAATGTGTCTTTATCTTCTTTGTCGGTGACCCCAGTCGAGACTCAAGATCATGTTTTCTTGTCGGCGGCGCAAGTTGATAGATATATGAAGAAGGGTTGCCAGGCCTATATGATTTTCTTCTCTATCCAAGCTGAGATTGATGAAGGCGTGAAGAATATCTCAATTGTTAAAGAATTT